GTGCTAGTATTTTGTGGTATTTGTATATAGTTTGTATTATAATAATAGTGCTATGGTTATTGTAATAGCAGATTGATTTTTCATAGGTTCATGGTTAGATAGGTTCATTTGAAGTTGTGGTCAAAGTTTCAGGTTCATTGTTTTATATATATTATAATGAATTTTTATAATAATAAAATATATTTACATTTAAAGTTTAAGATTTATTGTTCTTGTCAATCTGTTATCAGTATAGTGTTATAATTATCAACATACTGTTATCTTTGTCTTGCAGTTTTATAGCTTCCTCATAATTTCACGGACACACACACATATATACATAGACACTCATAAATGCACATTCAAAATTTGTAAAACTCAAAATAAGAATTTACTCATCTCTTTTATTAAATATTACTTTTACTGCAATAACATTTCTCTTCTCTCACATAATATATATTCTCTCACATAATACATATTCTAAAAATTAAATATTATGTCATGGATGCAGGTTATAGTAGAAGTATATATTATTATTATATAATATATTATTCATATATTGTGCCCACATTATGTACATTATAGTCATAGAATAATAGTCATACTACTAGTGTTTATGCAATAAATAACAATATCTGAAAATATTTTGGTGTATACATTCCCCACCTGCCGTGTTTTTTGGAGTTTCTACATGTATGGGTTAAAAACCATACATTTTAAATCTTCATTGAGCCATAGTCATATAACTTATATGTATGTATATATATATATAGTCATATGATTTATATATGTATAAAGCTTCCCACTATATTTTAAGTCAGTTATTTGCAGATATTTTTACTACAGTTTATTTGTATGCTATATGTAAGGTCCTGATATTTGTGTTTTCTCATTTTGAATGTTATTTGTTCCTTTATTATTAAAAAATTGCTTTTGCTGAGTGTTCAATCTTTGGCTAACATTTCCTACCCTTGATTTCTCAAATACATTACTCCATTTACAACTGGCATATTTAAAATAATTGCTTTTAAAAAGTCTGATGATAACCTAATTTTCTTTCATTGTAAGTTACTTGACTTTTACCTAGAAACCAAATTACATATTTTTTTTTTGGAGTCAATAATTTCAACAGAATATCCCATGGTATTGACAATTGTGGGTTTGAATGCTCTCAAGTATGTGTTTTCTCAGGTGTTCTCTTTTCAGTATGTGATTCAATTGCCTTAAATTAAAGTTTGATGATTTGTTTCGTCTCTTGCTTTGGTTTCTTCTTCAGGGAATCTTATACCTGTTGGCTCTTCTATGCCAACATTCACCCCTTGTTACTGTCTCTGGAGTTCTTACTAGTTTCTACAGTTTCATTTTTTATTATTATAAATACTCCTTTATTTACCTTTTTCCCCACTTAAAGTATTTAGACTATTTATACTTGGGATCCTTATTTAGAATTCCTTTTTGCAATGTATGCATGCGTATATGTATTGGCAATGGATTAGTTTTATTTCCATACTACTCAGGTGTTATAATTTTATCTATGTCTTTTATAATTGTCTTAATGATTTTGGGTCATCTTTCAATTGATGGCTATGATGATTATTCTGTGGACATACCTTTTTGAACATGCATCTTAGAAGGATTTTATATTGCGCTTCCTTGTCTCTGTATTTGATAACAACCTTTTCAGAAATTTAATTTTTCAACCTTTTGGGAGAAGACATAGAAAAAGGTAGTTTTGACTTTTTATTTTAGAAAAGAAACTTTTCTCTACTTCATATATTGCTAAAATACACTGCTATTTATTGATTTTGCTCCCTGCCCCCAACTTTTCATTTTTCTTTATTTATGATCTAATATATTAAGTGTATTCCATTGTTGCTCAATGACCATTAACATCCATCACCAGGATCTTTTTAATATTACACAATTCTTTGCCCATTTAAAAGTAAATCCTACTCCCCTTTCTTATCTCTTGGCAACCACCATTCTACAGTCTGTCTCTGGGACTTTGAGCACTCTGCATATTTCATATAAGTAGAGTCAAATTTGGTTTATCCTTTATAATTTTGCATATTAGCACTTTATATAATGAATGATTTGTAAATATTTGTTTCCTTTCCATGCTTCCTTTTTCACAGTGTTGGTAGTATGCTTTGACCTTTAGAATATTTTATGAGAAAAATATTCTAAAAGTATTAAAAATATTTTGACATTTAGAATATTCATGTATTTTCATTGCCTGTGATTTCGGTGTATATTGCTTTCGATAAGATTACCATCTTAACAATACACTTTCTTCCAATAAGCACTTAATAACTTTCTTTACTTTCTTTCTCTGTATCTTCTACTTATTTGAACAGTGTTTCTTAGTTTTTGGTGAATAGGTTTCTTACTCGTTCATCAGTTATTTCCAGTTACTTGATCCTTTTTAATGTGGTCATTAATGGATTATTTTCTTAATTTCTTTTCTAAATCAGTGTTTGCATACAAAAAGAAAAATGAAATTTTAAATTGATTTTTTTTTTATCCTGCCACTTTACTATACTTATTGTTTCTGGTAGTTACTTAAAGGATCTTTAAGAATATTCTATGTATATTATCATGCCATTAGCAATAAAGTGATACTTTTAATTCTTCTTTTCCAAGTTGGATTCTTCTTATATATTAATGGTTCTGGATAGGAATTTTAAAACTATGCTTAACAGTAGTATTAAGACTAGACTTTCTTGCCTTATTCCTGATTTTAGGGAGAAAGATTTCAGGTTTTTACCATAGAGTATGCTGTTACGTTTGGTTTTACCATATATAATATTTGGTATGTTGAAGTGTTTTATTATCAATTTATTGAATTTTTATCATAAGTGATTGCTGAAACTTGTCACATGATTTTAAGCATCTATTGGTATGATGTGATTTTCATGTTTTCTTTTGTTGATGTGTTAATTACATTACTTGATTTATATATATTGAACTATTCTTGTATCACTGGAATAAATCCTACCTGGTAATGATGCATGATTCTTTGAATTATACCTGGATTTGATTTGCCAAGACTTTTTTGAGGAGTTTTGAAACAATATCAATCGGAGATGGTAGTAGAATTTTATTTCTTATGTTCTGTCATTGTCTGATTTTGGGATCAGAGTAATGGTAGTATAACATTCCTTGGGTCTCTTCATCCTCTTTTGGGATTTGGGAGGAATCTGAGAAAGATACTATTTGAAATGAAATGCTGGTAGAATTCACTAGTAAAGTCATCTGTTCCTGATCTTTTTTTCTTGATATTACTGTTTCATTTTCCATATCATTTTTGTTCTCTTCAAGCTAATTATTTTTCCATTGGTAGGTTATATAATCTCCTACATATAAATATGCATAAGTCTTTTATTAGCCTTTATATCTGTGTTATTAGTTGTATGTCTTTTATTAGCCTTTCTATCTGTGTTATTAGTTGTATCTTCACCTCCTTGTTCTTTTTATTGGGGTTTTCTCTGATTTTTGCCCCTCGGTGACTCTCTGTAAGAATTTATCGATTTTGTTCTTTTTTTCCCCCTGTGAAGAGTCAGCTCTTAGTTTCATTGATATTTTTTATCAGCTTTTTAAATGTTAACCACACCTACAATTGATCTACCATAAAATTATTTCATGGTAATGTCTAAACCAATGTTGACCAAACGACTGGACACAATATCCTAACCCCAACGACAAAGTTGACATTTTTACTCTACATTTAAAAAGAGTGTCTTTACACCTGTATAGATATCCTCACTTTCCAACTTAAAATGCTTGGAAAAATAGAGCCAAGTAAAGCAAACACAGAAATGAAATGATAAATGATAGTGCAGAAATTATTGAAATAGAGCATAAACGAACACTGGAGAAATCAATGAAACCAAAAAGTCAATTATTTTAAAACTTTTAAAACAGTAGAGGGGATATTAGTACCAACCTTACAGACATAAATAAGGATTATAAATAAAAACTGTGAATAATCGTATCCTGTAGTCTAGGTAAACAGAATGTGTTGTATTCAAACAATACAAGAATCTTGAAGACAGTATACAAGTGAATGAAGTCAGATACAAATGGCTGATTTCTGTTATATATTTATAAGGAAAAGGCAGAGGAGTGAAATCCATAGAGAAAGATTACATATTAATGGAGTATAACATATAGGACTGGTGAGGATGATAGTTAAGGTATACAGGTTTCTTTTGAGGTAAAGAAAATATTTTAAAGTACACTTGTGATTTTTGTACATTATCAGTGAATATACTGAAATCATAGAAATATATGCTATAAATCGGCGAATGTATGTGAAATTCATGATCATAAAATTGTTAAAAACAATAAAACAAAGATAAGGGGGAAATAAAATAAAATGTGTTCTAAGTACCTCTAGAACTGTATTATGGGCATCTCACTCCAACTGAATATCCTCTGATTAGTTTCTCCCTTTAGCAAAGGAAAGGTTTTTGTGTGTGTGTTTTTGTGTGTGTGTGTTTTTTGTTTTTTGTTTTTTGTTTTTTTTAATCATCCCACAAGCAGAAGCTCAGATGGGCCTAGAAAGAAATTTTCTGGAAAGTACACAACTGGGCTTCTTTGCTTGGTTGTAATTCTAGACCTTTGCTTCAGTTCACAGACTTATAAAGACTGTCCTTAGGTGTGAGTAATTTTCCTCTGTCTTATGTCTAACCAAGCTAGGGCAACTGGTCACTCCGACTCCCTCCCATTGCTGTCCCTCTCATGGTCTCTGAAGGCAACCGTTGCCTTGGTTAGATTGTTACATAAGGGGCAGTCATCACCAACACTGCCTCACAGGCCATAGGCCAAGTCAAAGGAGACAAATTCATGGGCTGAGGATGGGGTGTCCTGTGGCTTGAGGACCACCTGCTAGCTTCACCTAAGTGACAACCTGAGAACTTTGGAATCCTGTCGCTTTAAAACTTCTGGAGCTGCCTGTTATCTTACAAAGAGGCCAAGTTTCTTTATTTTGCTGAAGTTCTAAGAGGTATGTTGCAGAAATGTTTAATCCATATGTGTTAGATTTTCCAGCTGTAATTTTTGACAATGGATCAGGATTCTGCAAAGCAGGTTTTTCTGGTGAGACTGTACCCCGTCATGTAATCAGCACTGCCGTGGGTCATCCTAAATTCCACCTGCCTTTATCAGAAATCAGTTATCACTTTTCCATGGGAGAAAAAGCCCTGTACACATATAAGGCTTTGCATTTGCACTACCCCATTGAGCGTGGATTAGTAACAGACTGGGATGACATGGAGACACTCTGGGAATATCTTTTTGAGAATGAGCTGGGAATAAAGCCCTATCAACAGCCTGTGCTCATGACTGAGCCCTCCTTGAACCCAAGAGAGACTAGAGAGAAGATGGTAGAAGTAATGTTTGAGAACTTCAATGTGCCTGCCTTCTATCTTGCCAACCATGCTGTGGTAGCGCTCTATGCCTCTGCCTCTGTCACCGGCCTGGTTTTAGATAGTGGTTATGGGATAACTTGCAGTGTCCCTGTCTATGAGGGATACTCCCTGCCTCGTGCTGTCACCAAGCTCTACGTGGCGGGGAAAGATATCACAGAACACCTTACCAGGCTCCTCCTCATTAGCAGGAATATCTTCCCTTGCATACTCGACAAGACCTTAGTGGAGGACATCAAAGAAAATCTGTGCTATGTAGCCTTGGAACCAGAGAAGGAGATGTGTAAGAGATCAGAGGAGATACAAAAACAGTACCGGCTGCCAGATGGGAATGTCATTCATATTGGGCACCAGCTACACCAGGCACCTGAGGTGCTCTTTGCTCCAGACGGGCTGGGCAGTCACAGCATGGGTCTCTCAAAAATGATCCATAGCAGCATTATGAAGTGTGACACTGATATCCAGCAGAATCTTTTTGCAGAAATTGTGCTCTCTGGGGGCACCACTCTCTTTCCTGGGCTTGAAGAAAGACTCATGAAAGAACTGGAGCAGATGGCTTCCCGAGGAACTCCCATCAAGATCACGGCTTCTCCTAATAGAAGTTTCTCTTCATGGATAGGGGCATCCATGGTGACCTCTCTTAGCAGTTTCAAACAAATGTGGATCACTTCCGTAGACTTCAAGGAATTTGGGACATATGTTGTTCAACGAAAATGTTTTTAAAAAATCCAGCACACAAGGGACATCTTGAAATGTCATCTCATAGTAGAAGTGGTGGAAGGTGCCATCCTCCCTTGGGCTTCAGTGTGGTGTTTGATAAAAGTGATGTGTCAGCTTGGGTTTTGTTTCATTCTTGCTGCCAACAGAGTAGTTTCTGATCTTGGTAGTGACTTTTTTTTTAAGATTTATTTATTTATGCATACAGAACTGGGGTACAGGCCAGAGGTGCAGGGGCAGTGAGAGGATTTACTAGAGACAGAGTGAGGAGGAGAACAGGCAGATCAACGAAGTACACTGCTGAGG